GCCACTGGCAGCAGGGGCCGACTGTCGTTCCCCTGCTGTGCTGGGACTGTGGCTGCAACTAGAGCTGCATGGTCTCAGCAGGTGCGAGGGTGTAGCTGCCAGGGGTTGTCACCCAACTACAACCCTCATGGTGGGTTCTCTTGGAAAGAGGTCACTTGCCAGGACCTTCAGGGCTCCTGGTTGCTAATCCCTTGTCACCCCCAGACCTGTGGGAGGTAGGCTTCCTGAAGATTCTGGGAGCATCATAATCTTATATAAGTGGAGATTGCTGATAGGAGGAAAAGAACCCAGTGAGGAAGATGGAATGTATAACTGGGGACAGTCCCTTCCAGCTCAGATAATTCATCTTACATGACAAGATCAAGGTGAAGGTTGCCCTGATACCCTCCCTAGGCTGCCCACTAAACTGATTATGAAGCCAAAGGAAACAAAATAAAAAACTCAAACTCCACACAGCCTGAAAACTAGCAATAATGGTGAAACAGTTGGTAGACTTTGAAAGATGATGTATTCGTTTTCACTTGCTATACCAGGTACAAAATATAAACTAAGTTAAACTCTTCGATCATATGTTCACAGCCAATTAAAACGTAGACAAACCCAAGTCATGCAAATGTCAGAGAAAATATCAGAGAGGAAGAATCTGCTGTCTGGATGGGAAGCAATGGGATTGTGCAATGAAATCACTCAGAAAAAAATAAGCCATGATTCTTTCAAATTTGAAAGATGGGACATGGTACTGGTGCCAAAACATATAGACCAGTGGAACAGAACAGAGACCTCAGAAATATCACCTCACATCTACAACCATCTGATCTTCGACAAAGCTGACACAAACAAGCAATAGGGAAAGGATTCCCTATTTAATAAATGGTGCTGGGAAAACTGGCTAGCCATATGCAGAAAACAGAAACCGGACCCCTTCCTTACACCGTATATGAAAATTAAGATGGATTAAAGACTTAAATGTAAAACCTAAAACCCTAAAAACACTAGAAAAAAACCTAGACAATACCATTAAGGACATAGGCATGGGCAAAGACTTCACAACTAAAACACCAAAAGCAACTGCAACGAAAACCAAAATTGACAAATGGGATCCAATTAAACTAAAGAACTTCTGCACAGCAAAATAAACTATCATCAGAGTGAACAGGCAACATAAAGAAGGGGAGAAAATTTTTGCAATCTGTCCATCTGACAAAGGTCTAATATCCAGAGTCTATAAGTAACAAACAAATTTACAAGAAAAAAACCAAACAACCCTATTAAAAAGTAGAAGGATATGAATAGACATTTCTCAAAAGAAGACATTTATGCAGCCAACAAATATATGAAAAAAAGCTCATCATCACTGGTCATTAGAGAAATGCAAATCAAAACCACAATGAGATAGTCTCTCACACCAGTTAGAAAGTTGGTCATTAAGATGTCTGGAAACAACAGATGCTGTTGAGGATGTGGAGAAATAGGAACGCTTTTACACTTTTTGTCAGAGTGTAAATTAGTTCAACCATTGTGGAAGACGGTGTGACAATTCTTCAAGGATCTAGAACCACACATACTATTTGACCCAGCAATCCCATTACTGGGTATATACCCAAAGGATTATAAGTCATTCTACTGTGAAGACACATGCACACATTTGTTTATTGCAGCACTATTTACAATAGCAAAGACTTGGAACCAACCCAAATGCCCATCAATGGTAGACTGGAAAAAGAAAATGTGGCACATATACACAACAGAATACTATGCAACCATAAAAAAGAATTTCACATCCTTTGCAGGGACATGGATGAAGCTGGAAGCCATCATTCTCAGCAAAAGAACACAGAAACATAAAACCAGACACCACATGTTTTCACTCATGAGTGGCAGTTGAACAATGAGAACACAGGGACACAGGGAGAGGAACATCACACACTGGAGCCTGTTGTGGGGTGGAGGGCAAGGGGAGGGAGACCATTGGGAGAAATACCTAATGCATGCGGGGTTTAAAACTTAGATGAAGGGTTGATAGGTGCAGCAAACCACCATGGCACATGTAGACCTATGTAATGAACCTGCAGGTTCTGCATATGTATTCCAGAACTTAAAGAAAAACAAATAAGTAAATAAAAAATAAGTGAAATAAATGAAACAAAAAAATATGGAACAAAAGGCAGGAAAACAAAAAAAAGAAAGATAAACCAAAACCAAACACCAAAAACTCTTAGAAAAATGCTTATCATAAATAAATGGGGACCAAAGATTAATATTATTCATCTATACCAAGTACTTCTAGAAAAACATGCTAATTATAGGCTTATTAAATATTACAAGCATGTGAAAACAATCAAAATACCAATGGTAAGAAAATTAAATGTATCTACATGTATAAGATGACATGGCTTGTTTATTAGGAACATTTCATGACATGTTAAAGTTTTCATAATACAATAATACTATGGTTTGAATGTGTCTCCCACAGTTCATGTGTTGAAAACTTAATCCTCAGTGTAATGCTGTTGATAGGTATGAGGCCTTTAGGAGATGTTTAGCTCATGAGGGCTCTGCTTTTATGAATGGATTAAGGTCTTCATTGTGAGAGTGGGTTTGCTGTGAAAGTGAGCTTGGCCCTGTCTTGCTCTTCTGCCTGCCGCCATGGGATGATGCAGCAAACAGGCCCTCAGCAGATGTGGCCACCTTGACCCTGGACTTCCCAGCTCTAGGGAAGTAAGAAATAAATCTCTGCTCTCTATATGTTACCTGGTCTTATGTGCTCTGTACTAGCAGGACAAAGCAGACTAAGACCAGCGGCAACTGGAACAGGAAGGAGGAATCTATGTACAACACACTCAGCTGTGTGCGTGTGTATGCCTGTATGTGTGTGTGTTTTCTGCATGCGCGTTTGTGTGTTTTGTGCATGCGTGTTTGTAGGTGGTGTGTTTGCATGTATGTGGGTGGGTGTTCCTGTGTCTGTACCCGTGTGTGCATGTGTGTGTGTATGTGTACCTCAGCAAAGCAAAGCAAAAAACATCTTTTTTTTTTTTTTTTTTTTTTTTTTTTTTGAGGGGGGGTTTTCCACTTTTCACCCAGGCTGGAGTGCAATGGTGCGATCTCGGCTCACTGCAACCTCCACCTCCTGGGTTCAGCCAATTCTCCTGCCTCAGCCTCCTGAGTAGCTGGGACTACAGGCACGCACCACCATGCCCAGCTAATTTTTTGTATTTTTAGTAGAGACGGGGTTTCACCATGTTGACCAGGCTGGTCTTGATCTCTTGACCTCGTGATCCACCCGCCTCGGCCTCCCAAAGTGCTGGGATTACAGGCTTGAGCCACCGCGCCTGGCACAAAAAACATCTTGAAGAACATTATTATGCAAGAATAATGACAGTAGTTAACTCTGCGTGATGAGATTACGGAGTGACTTAGTAACTTTATTTTTTATACCTTTTACTTTTTCTGCGATGACAATGTACTATTGTTTATAATCAGAGTGAAAAACTTCATGAAAATATGTTGATGCTGGAAGATAAAAAATATTACAACTCTCAGAGATACATGGGCAAATAATGCACAAAGAGTTAGAGAAGGAACTATTGAAAATCTTCCTCAAACCAAAAAAAAGTAAATCAATACAAGTTAGCATGCGCGTTTTCCTCCATTGTGTCAGTAAACGTATTCATAAAAGGGGTGTCTAATGCTGCTGTGAATGCATCAAAAGTCACTCTCATTACCTGTCAGGGGGAAAACAGAACCTTTGAAAAATAATTTGGCAATATGTGTCAAGAACCTTAAATATGTTCATGACCTTTCACTTCTGGGAACCTACCTAAAGAAAGAATCTGAGAGGGCTGAGCTCAGTGGCTCCCGCCTGTCAACCCAGCACTTAGGGAGGCTGGGGTCGGCAGATCACAAGGTCAAGAGATGGAGACCATCCTGGCCAACATGGTGAAACCCCATCTCTACTAAAAATACAAAAATTAGCTGGATGTGGTGGTGCATATCTGTAGTCCCAGCTACTCAGGAAGCTGAGGCAGGAGAATTGCTTGAACCTGGGAGGTGGAGGTTGCAGTGAGCCAAGATTGCGCCACTGCACTCCAGCTTGGTGACAGAGCTAGACGCCATCTCAAATAAAAAAAAAGAAAGAAAGAAAAAGAAAAAGAAAGAAAGCAAGAGAGAGAAAGAAAAAGAAAGAGATGGAAAGGAAGGAAGGAAGGAAAAAAGAAAGAAAGAAAAAAAAAAGAAAGGAAGGAAGAAAGGAAGAAAGAAAGAATCTGAGAATCAAATACTGATGTATGCACCAAAATGCAAATCACATCATTATAGTAGCAGAAACTTAGTAGTCATTTCACTCTTTTGAAATGCTCAATAACTTTCAAAACAGTAAAATGTTTGTTAAAAAACTAAAGTATACTGTATTTACCTCCTGAGTATTATGCAGCCAGTAAAGTTATGTTAAAAGTCAGTTTTCATGGCATGAGGTACTCTTTATGTATTCAATTGCATTGTGTGAATTTCTTTCTTTCTTTTTTCTTTTTCTTTTTCACCCTTTTGTTCTTAAGTAGTGTATCAGCTGTGACCCAGCCTCTCATGCAGCTTTGGAAGTCTGCTTTGGGTCTAGGTTGTTCTCTTCCTCATTATCACCTGTGTTGCCCTCCCAAGAAATTTTGCCTCTAAAGAGTGTCTAGAAAACTGGTAGTGGTTACATACACACACAAAAAAAATCCCAGACTTCTAATTCAGATTGAAAGAAGGAGCTTCAGTGTTTGCTGTGTGTATAGTTTCCTATGGATGCACTGACAAATTACCATAAATTTGGTGACTTAAAACAACACACAGCCAGATGCGATGGCTCACACCTGTAATCCCAGCACTTTGGGAGGCTGAGGCAGGAGGATCACTTGAGGCAAGGAGTTCAAGATCAAGCCTGGCAATATAGCAAGATCATCATCTCTGTAAAAAATACAGGCCAGGTGCAGTGACTTGTACCTGTAATTCCAGCACATTGGGAGGCAAAGATGGGTGGCTCGCTTGAGGTCAGGCTTTCGAGACCAGCCTGGTCAATGTGGCAAAACTCCATCTCTACTAAAAATACAAAAATCAGCCAGACCTGGTGGTGCACACTTGTAATCCCAGCTACTTGGGAGGCTGAGGCAGAAGGATTACTTAAACTCAGAAAGTCAGGGCTGAAGTGAGCTCTGATCACGTCACTGCACTCCAGCTTAGAGACAGCATAAGACCCTATCTCAAATTAATAAATAATATAATTAAATAGTTTTAAAAGTTAAAAGTTTTTTAAAAAATATACTTATTCTTCTATAGTGCTGGAAGAGGTCAGAATCTAAAATCAGTTTCATTAGGCCAAGATCAATGTGTCAGCAAGACTGCACTTCCTCTGGAGGCTTTAGGAGAAAATAATTTCCTTGTCTTTTCCAGCTTCTAGAGCTGTGCCCCTCACATTCCTTGGCTCACGGCCCCTTCTTCCAGCTTCAAAGCCAGCAGGGTAGCATCTTGCTTCAGTGTCCTATTTCCCCTTCTTCTGTGTCAAATCTCCATCTTCTTCCCTCTTACAAGGTCACTTGTGATTACATTTAGGACCTACCCAGAAAATCTTCCCATAAAGAATTCCTGAACTTAATCAGCAAAGTCTCTCTTGTCATGTAAGGTAACGTTCAGAGGTTCCGGGAATAGGACTTGGATATCTTGGGGCCATTTTTCAGTCTACCCCAGTGCGGCACATGCAAGGGAACCTGCAGCCTTTACCTTCTGCTGGTGATCTGCAATGCCTGCTCAGGAAATGAGCGGCACCCCTGGGTTCCCGCTGGCATGTTATGGATCTAGGATAACCCCCTGTTTTCGTCTGTTTTATGCTGCTGTAACAGAATACTTGAGACTGGGTACTGTAATTGATAATGAACAGAACTTTACTGGCTCCTAGTTCTGGAGGCTGGGAAGTCCAAGATCGAGGGGCCTGCATTTGGCAAGGGCCTTCGTTCTGCATCATCCCATGATGAAAGGGCAAGAGAGAGAAAGGAATTGTATGAATTTCTATTTCATTAGTTAAGATGGTCAAATGTTGGCAAATTCATATGGGTTATCTTTATGTACTACAGGTATCAGTGGTTTGTGATATGCCTGGAAGGAGATGCATTTGAATATTGACAGCAATCACTTCTGAGTTGTCTGTTAACATGATAGGTGACTAACCTTCCTATCTGTGCTTTTTCCATCTAATTTGACATTTCTATAATAAACTGTATGATTTAGTAATCAGAGGAAGAAAAACAAGACCGACACCTGCCCTCCTCCCAAAAATCTGCTCTTAAAACAAAGAACTGCTTTTTCCTGCCTTTCCCTGAGAATTTTTCAGAGATGCAGAAAAGTGGAGAGACTAGTATACTCACCACCTGTAAGTTTAACAGTTGTTGACATTTCACCACTTTTACAAATCTTTCATTTCTGCTGAAGTATTTTAAAGTCAGACCTCATTATATTTTACACCTAAATACTTTAACATGCCTCTTGCAAAGATGCAGAAATTTTCTTACATTTCTATTATCTTACCTAACAAAACTAACAGTAACGTGTGTACATTTAAAATCTTGAAAAATTATCTTCTTGCATTTCCGGAATTTCTGGTGTGTTTAACCATCACAACATGATATCACTGCAGTTCCTTTTTTGTTTTCCTTTAATTTTGGAGGTAAAAATGTACAGTGAAATGGAAGATGGGAGGGAGTTTATTTCTGGCATTGCTCAGTGTGAGCCAGCTCTAAAATTCTATCTTAACAGTATGCAGTTCAGAAGACACTGAATATGAAGGTCATATTTCTAATGTCACACCATGCATGAACCCAGACGTCCTGCTGCTTTGGGCCTCAACATCTGCATACAGTATATATATTCATTTCAAATTTTGTGGGTTTAAGAACTGAGGGGGGAGCATGAGTACAGGTAGCAGTGGCTTAGCACACAATGGGCGGTAGACACGATTTTGTATCCTGTGCTAACATCCTTGCCAGTGGGCCACAGTTTCTTTCATAGAATAAAAACATCCAGTGTTTGTTACAAGTAAAAGTAACTTAGAAATGCCCTTGTCTTCTCACACAGCTTAACTATGGCCCAGGAGGCATGATAGGCTGTTAGTCAGGGTTTCCTATGCGAGCCTTGTGTGTCATCCGTTGATTTTGGGGGTGGAAGGAATGCTTTTTTTTTTTTTTTTTTTTTTTGAGACAGTCTCGCTATGTCATCCAGGCTGGAGTACAATTGTACAGTCTCAGCTCTCAGCACCTTCTGCCTCCCAGGTTCAAGTGATTCTCATGCCTCAGCCTCCTGGGTAGCTGGGACCACAGCTGTGCACCACCAAGCCTGGCTAATTTTTTGTATATATATATATATATACATATATATATTATATAAATATGTGTGTGGGTGTATATATGTATATGTGTGTGTGTATACACACACACACACACACACACACACACACACACATATATTTAGTAGAGATGGTATATATTTAGTAGAGGGTTTCACCATATTGGTCAGGCTGGTCTCGAACTCCTGACCTCAGGTGATCCACCCACCTCGGCATCCCAGAGTGCTGGGATTATAGGCGTGAGACATGGAGCCCGACCTTTGCAGTGGAGGGAATGCTCTTTGTGCTAACTCGTTTCTCCTTCAGTGGCCCTTCCAACATTCTATCCAGAGGGTTCACCTTTCCAGTTAGGGAATCATCTGTCAGTGAAAGATATTTGGCTACCACGAGCTGGGAACTGCTCCCAGCTCCTCCTTCATAAAAGCTCTCCAGAGGGATTCTTGAGGAATGAAGAACTGGAACCTGGAAAAGGAAGAGCTGTGCCTGGTGTCCACAGGAGCAGCCTACAACATTGCAGATTGTCCGAGGTCAGCCCCTTTGGCCCTCCAGCAGGTTGGCATCCATCCTCTGGTTTAAGTTGATGCTGCTTTCCTTTGATGGAACAGTCCCTACAGGTTAGTCACGGCTCCCTTGGAATGCTGGTCTCTGGGGCTGAGGTGGGGCACTTCCTCCACTGGATCCAGTAAGTTTTGCATGTGTTTGGGATTTGGAGAAAGACAAGCCTGGTTTGGAGGATGGGGAGGCAGCTCCCTTGGTCCTAGGAGAAAGGAAGCAGTTATGCTGGAGGAAGACGGTCACCTTTCACCTCTTGCAGCACCATAAAAGGGATCTAATCAGGCGGCAGGAGGTTCAGGAAGTGGCCGGACCCAATGCCAGACACGTGGTAGTGTTTGGGATTCTGAGCTCCCCACAGCCAGGGTAACTGGAGCAGCTGTGTTGTGGAGAGACGGGCTGACGTGTGTCACAGGGTTCCAGGCCTGTGCAAGCCGCCTGTGTGTGCAGAGAGCCTGACTACCCCTGGAGCCTCAAAAGTGCAGAGACACAATGCCGGACATAAGAATCTGTCTGAAATGTCAGGGCAGGAGGAGGTTGTAGCCTGGTGGGCTGGCTAGCACCCAGCCTTACACCAAACACACAAGGGTCAGATCATGGCCTCCAGACCTGACATCTGAACTGACAGCTGGAGGAGGCAGACCCCTCTGTAGTCCCTGTCCTGCTGCTGGAGAGAATGGGTTTTTCAGAACATCTTACTGCCATTTTCAGAACATCTTACTGGCCACAGCTGTGCAGGCAGGGATCACTTTACCACACCAGGCGCTGGAAACACCCAAGACTGGTGTCTCTCAGTGTGATCTCCCCACATCCCAACAGCTCTGTCCTCTGTAATAAATCAGATATTGACTCCATCAGAATAGGGACAGAATTAAATGCACAGCTCTAGAGCCAGACTGCCTGAGTTCAAGGCCCAACTCCACACCACACTGGCTGTATGTAAACTGTAGAAAGCTACTGTGTTAACAATCTGTGGCTGTAGAAAAGACCTCCTTAGCGAAACATTCAAATAAAACAGAAGAGTTGTTCAGAAGTAACTGGAAATACTGTGGAATGCTGCCTCACACAGGCTTGTTTTAGCGTGATTTACTGAAATCGTCTTTTAACTGTGAAATAGCTACCTATAAACACATATACACACATAACTAATGTAACATGTTACTGTGCATTGTTAACGCATGCTTTCCCCATGCTCACACTGCCACTAACAGTAGCCAGCGCCGTGGGCTGCTTGCACACCCTGCCACAGAGCTCCAGCTCACTGCACGGCCGAACTCCCCGGCAACAAGCCCTCAGCTCATTACATTTGTGGTGATTTGTTCCATCAGCAAATGGGAAAGTCGTGCCCTCTCTGACGGCCAGGATCTGCCAGCACACTAGGTTGGAGCTGGGGTAGGTCCATGGACTTTCAGTACTTCATTTCCTTCATTGTAACTCATTGGGTGAAACAAATTTATTTTCTGTTACCTGAGGTATAGTTTAATTAACAAGTCCCCTCTCAGGCTGGTCTATTAGCACTTCCATTCCTAGGTGTAAATAGAAAAGTATCCTAAAGGATAAGGAAAATACACAAATATATAAATAGACAAATATATAAGGTGAATATGCACAACTCTGCCCTGAAACTCTCTCCATCAGTACTTGCTTCTTGTTTTTTTCTTTTTCAGAGATAGGCTCTCACTCTGACACCCAGGCTCGAGTGCAGTGGTGCAATCACAGCTCACTGCAGTCTTGAACTCCTGGGCTTAAGTGATCCTCCTGCCTCAGCCTCCCAAGTAGCTAGAACTACAGGCACACGTCACTATGCCCGGCTAATTTTTTTTTACAGACGAGGTCTTGCTGTGTGACCCAGGCTGGTCTCAAACTCACAGGTCTGAGCCATTGCACTTGGCTTGGTACTCACTTTTTGAAAAAAACACTGCCATGGAAAGCAGCATTGACTCAAAAGAGGGTTTAAGTGGCATAGCACTGTGGAGGAGAACATTTTAAGTCAAGAAGCTTCCGAGAATCCCCAAAATAATCCTCACTGGCTGACCCCTTGCTCAAGGAAACCCTGCGGCGAGCATCCCAGGATGGATGCCTGGTATCAGGTGGGAGCAGTGAGTGGCAGGCCTGATTGCCCTGAATCGCAATGAAGCTCTGGTTACCCCTGAATCAGATGAA